TTCCAGGAGAAAGAGCAAAAATTCTACTGCTTATTGCAGTGTTTCCCAAGTATTATACTACTTTCGTGACTATGTCCCTAGCCCCTCATCACCCAGAGGGTTGATTGATTTTTTGAGTCTCCATCAAAAAGATCTTTCTTTCTTTCTTTCTTTCTTTCTTTCTTTCTTTCTTTCTTTCTTTCTTTTTCACACAGGGGATTGAATGCAAGGCCTTCACACAGATCTACACTCTCAGCCCCTTCAAAAAAAATTTTATTTTTATGCTAGGCATGGTGGTACATGCCTATAATCCTTCACACTCTGAAGGCTGAGGCAGAAGGATCACTGTGAATTCAAGGACAGTTTGGGCTACATAGTTCAAGGCCAGCCTGAACTACACAATGAGACCCTGTCTCAAACAAACAAACAAACAAGCACAGTTTGTTTACAGTTCCAGAGGGAACTGAATTACAGCTGGAGAAATTAGACTAATGCTGCTTACCTCCAGATTTATTACATAAGAAAAATAAATGCCTATTTTTTAAGGTATTATAACTGCGTGTTTCTGTTACTGCAACCAAATAGGTGGTTAACATTCAAGTGACTACAACAAACCGAATATTACCAAGGCCAGGTTAGTGGTTGGGCGCTCAATATCGAGGTTTCTACGACAGATGTCATAGATGGCCTCGTTGTCTACCATGAAGGCACAATCAGAGTGCTCCAGGGTGGTGTGGGTGGTGAGGATGGAGTTGTAGGGCTCAACTACAGCTGTGGAAACCTGGGGGCTGGGTAAATGGAGAACTCCAGCTTGGACTTCTTGCCGTAGTCAACAGAGCGAGACTGCTGTAGGATAACGATAGCCACAATATTTTGCAATTCTTCTCATCAAGAAATAGAGTCTATTTCCCATGCGTTGAATCTGGGCTGGCCTTGTAACTTGCTCAGACTAATAATGTGTGGCAGAAGGCACCATGTTGTTGGGTTGGTTCCAGAGCCTTTTTGTCTGTTTGTTTTTTGAGACAGAGTCTTGCTGCACAATTTAGGTTGCCTTTGAACTCACGGAGATTATCCTACCTCAGCCTCTCTAGTGCTAGAATAATAGGTGTGGGGCACCAATGCTCTGCCAGTTCCAGAGCCTTTTGCCCTCCCAGAAGCTTGTGCTTCCATAAAGGGAACCTCCAGCTGTATGGGTAAGTGAGGAGAGACACAGGGAGAGACACGCAGCTCAACCACAGCCAGTACCAAAGTCCTGGACATGAGTGAGGCCTTCCCCTCTCAACAGAGCCTAGAGCTGCCTGGAGCCACATGAGGGACTCCAGGAGAAGCAGAGAAGAGAGGCAAACTCAACCCCTGGGTTCCTGCAAAACAATACATTGTTGTTTTAGGTCGCTAAGTTTTGATGGTGTTTATTATGCATGGACCACAGATACATCATTAGGGAGGTAACTGCTTCTACAGAAAACCTAGGAGCTCTGGAGCCCTCCCTGTACAATTAATTCCATTAAGAGGAGACAAGTAACATGACTTCCATGAAAACACAGTAAAAGTAGTTTCACTTTTCACAGAGATACTTGAAACAGCTTTCTGAATATATTTTATCTTTATTTTGTCTCAGTTGTTTGAGACATAGCAATGTATGTTGCTGCCACTAGAAATGTTATTGTTGTCCATCTACCCAACATTAGGGCAGTTTATTCCTTTTGTTTGATCCTATATTTGTGATCTTTATATATGCACACTCTTTACAAAACAACCACTAACGCATTGTTGTAAAAAGTGATTTATATTTAATGAACAATTTACTTATTTATCTGTTTATCTCACAGGCTAAGCACTTGCTCTATCACTGAGCTACACTCCCAGCTCTGTGAGCAAATATTTAATAAACAAATACCTTGGTCCTGAAATTATGCAAGTTTTATAGACTGAATTGCTAAATATGTCTTTCTTTTTCACAGTGCTAGAGATTAAATCCAAGGCCTTGTGTATGCCAGGCAAGCTCTTTACCACTAATCTTCATCCCTAGTCCTAAACATTTTTTTTGTGGTACCGGGTATCAAACTCGGGACCTTGTGCTTTCTTGGCAGGCAGGGTGCCACTGAGCTAAATCCCCCTTTTTAAAAAAAAAAATCCTCTTGGCCTCAGGCTCCCAAGTACTGGGATTACAGACATGCACCATCACGGCTACCACAGCAAAGGTTTTAGGGACAGATTAGTCTAGGCATGGTGGCACACACCTATAACTCAGCATTTAGAAAGCTGAGGCAAGCTGGGTGTGGTGGTGCACGCCTGTAATCCCAGCACTTGGGAGACTGAGGCAGGAGGATCCACCTGAGTTTAAGGCCAGCCTGGGCTACACAGTGAGTTCAGAGCCAGCCTGAACTACAAAGTGAGAACTTGTCTCAAAAGAAAAAAAAAGAAGGCTGAGGTAGGAGTTTGAGGCCCACCTGGGCTACATAGTGAGTTCAAGGCCAGCCTGAACTACATAGTGAGACCTTGACTCAAAAAAAAAAAAAAAAAAAGAGGAAGTGGCTCTTTAAAACAATTTTTATAGATCTGAATTTTATTTATTTATTTAGTAGTATTGGTACTGGGAATTGAACCCAGGACCTTTGTACTGAGTTACATCCCCAGACCTTTTTTATTTTTAATTTTTTTTTGGTTTGTTTGGTACCTGGGATCGAACTCAGGACCTTGCACTTGTGAGGCAGGTGGTGGCACCATTGAGCTAAATCCACAGCTTTATTTTTAATTTTTTTTTTTTTTGGTACCAGGGATCAAACTCCGGTCCTTGCGCTTACGAGGCAGGTGGCGGAATTTATTTTTAAGTTTTGAGACTGGGTCTCCCTAAATTGCCCAGGCTGGGCTTGAATTTGCAATCCTCCTGGCTCAGCTTCCTGAGTAGCTAGGATTACAGGTGTGTGCCACCATGCTCCATCTGGACTTTCCATTTTGTTGGGGTTTTTTTATAGTGGATTTTTGTTTGTTTTGTTTTGTTTTTTGGTACCAGGGATCAAACTTAAGACCTTGCACTTGTGAGTCAGGTGACAGCAGCACTGAGCTAAATCCCCAGTCCTGGACTTTCTGTTTTTTAAGCATTTGACAAGGCTCTATAGCTTTGTAAAGTCTGTCCATCAGTATAATCTAAAGACCCACTTCTTTAGGGCCTTCCAGAAGAAATAAATTCTTCAAACTATTTGTGTAAGTAAGAGTCAGTATTTCCATCTGTCAGATAAGTATAGAGCTGTCCATCATTTGGATCTCAGGAATAAATATCACCTCCATAGGCTTCCTCAGACATCATATAAAAAGGAGGGTTACTCTTTTAGGAGTACTCTCTAGCCTATTAAATCCCCCTTTTCTCTTCCACTGAGTTGTTCCTGAGCTACATCCTTAGCCTTTATTTTTATTTTTATTTTTTTTGAGGCAGTGTCTCACTATGTAGCTCAAGCTGGCCTCAAACTTGAAGTGATCCTCCTGCCTCAGCCTCCAGAGTGCTGGGATTACAGGCATGTGCCACCATGCCTGGCTTAATAACTGCTATTTCTAAATACAGTATCTATATTTAGAATTAGCTCAAAATGGGCATGGTGGCACATGTCTGTAATCCCAGCACTCTGGGAGGCTGAGGTAGGATTGCAAGTTTGAGACCAGCCTGGGCAATTTAGTGAGACCGTGTCTAAAATAAAATAAAATAACCTGGGGATATGGTTCAGTATGGAGGCTCTGGGTTCAATCTCCAGCAACCCCTTCCAAGTTAAAATAGCTCAGACTCCTTTATGTTGCCTGGCTTTCACTTTCTTCTTAGACTTTATCTGTTTTAGGCTAAGTGGTTTTTTGTTTTGTTTTGTTGTTGTTGTCTTGTTTTTAGAGACAGAGTCTGGCTATGTAGTCCAGGGTGGCCTTCAACTCAGTATTGTAGCCCAAGCTGGCCTTCAACTCTTGGCAATCTTCCTGCCTCAGCCTCTGAAGTGCTAGGATTACAGGTGTGCCCCTTCATGCCCTGCTGAACACTGATTTCTTTGTCTATGCCCCCTCCCCCACTTTTTTTATACCTGTGTTGGGAATTGAACTCAGGACCTTGTGTTTGCCACTGAGCTACAACACCAGCCTCTCCATCAATAAAATTTAAATTCTTCGAGAGCAGAGACCTTGTCTTCAAATTTTTATTTCCTAAGCCAGAGCAATGTCTGTAGTATATGACCAGTAAATATTTGTTGAATAAATAAGTGATTCATTATAATGATGATAACGAAAACTCAAGCTCCCCAGTTACACATTTTAGCAATTTTCTCAAGAATAAGAATTGCTAGCTGGGTGTGGTGCCGCTTGCCTGTGATCCCAGCACTTGGCTGAGGCAGGAGGATCACTGCGACTTCGAAGCTACCCAGGACTACATAGTGAGTTCAAGACCAGACTGAACTACATAGCAAGACCTTGTCTCATAAAACAAAACAAAACAAAACAACAATAAGAATTACCGTTGTGAAGTTAGATCCTGGAAAATTGTGAAGCCTAATAACGACAGCTCTGTGATTGAACGCTGGGGAAAGTGGAGGGAATATACTGAACTTTTTGGCCTTTTTTCCTAGCCAAGGAACCCAGAGACCTTGCAAAACGGAGACCTGGGATTTTTTTTTTTTTTTTTTTGTACCGGGGATTGAACTCGGGACCTTGCACTTGCGAAGCAGGCGGCGGCACCACTGAGCTAAATCCCCGGCCCGGCCTGGAATCTTTTGATCTGAAAGTCCAGTCCAACCACAATGGGTATTTTTCTTCACTCTTCTTGGCAACCACTTCTTGGCAGGCTGCAAATGCGCAAATGCCTCTAGGACCCCGGGTTCCTTTCTGTTTCTTTATGAATGAACCGGCTCACATCTACGCACGCGCAGCTGCCTGCTCTCCCGCTCCACGTGAGACCCACCCTTCTCTCCGGCTGGCGGCCCCGCCTTAATCCTTTCTAATGGACCAATGGAGAGGGGGCTGGGGGCGGAGCCCGGAGCGGCAGGGCACTGAAGTTCCCCGGCGCCGGCTCCTTCGCCTTAGTCGGGCAGTGTTGTGATCACGTGGCCAGCTCCAGGCGCGGCGCCTGTTTTGGTTTTTCTTTGGCTTGCTTGGGGCAGCTGCGGCGCGAGCGACTTTCCCGGTTCGGTTGCCTTTTCGGGCTTTCTTGGCCCGCATTTTGCAAGCCCCTTGGGGCTGGTTCCTGCCATGCCGCTGGTCCGCTACAGGAAGGTGGTCATCCTCGGGTACCGCACTGTAGGTGAGTACCGCCCCGCGCAGAGCGGGAACGCGCCCCGGGCAGCCGCGGTGACATCGAAAAATGCGAGGTTCAGAAAGATTGGGGCTAAAGGCTGAGATGTGTCAAGGGCTGCAGGAAGCGGAGCACGTAAGGGTTAATGTGGACTTGGCTGCTGGAACATCAGAATAGTCCTCTCTGTTCCTCCGGGAGTAGGGGTGGAGTCGGAATTTGAAGGCGCCGGCGCGGTTGGAGCAGTCTTCGTGGGGCAAATGGTCGCAGGTGTCCTGGGGCAGGGCGGGGTTTATCTTAGAGAATCTTGGATCTTCTGGGGATGTGGTGGGAAAAGTTGGCTGGAAAGCCTGCCTGAGGGGCTGCAGAATTCGGAAGTATGGCCATAACACAGAGGGCGAGGGTAAGCTAAAGGAAAGCCTTGCTTGAGACATTCACAGACTGGGGTGCTGGTTTGGGGTGTCCTTTGGCTCTGGGCCACAGTATAAAAGGACAAAAATGCTGGGAATGGGTGAATGGAATGCAACTACTTCTGCTCACAGGGAAGACATCTTTGGCACATCAGTTTGTGGAAAGTGAGTTCTTGGAAGGATACGATCCTACAGTGGAGAACAGTGAGTAGTCTTGTCTCCTTTAGTGTGAAGAGGAGGGGACTTGGAGTGCTTGGGTGCCCCGCCCAATTCCATAGTTTGGGATTTCTCTGTTGCCAAGGGCTGATTTATTTAGTCCTTATATCTAATCTCTCTAGCAATCCTGTAGATACGAAGTGCCCTAGAGCTGGGCATGGTGGCCCATGCCTTTAATCCCAGCACTAAGGAGGCTGAGGCAGGAAGATAACCACAAGTACAACACCAGCCTGAATTACACAGTGAGAGCCTGTCTCAAAACAAAAACAAAATAACCCTAGCATGTTGCTCCAGTTTCTTGGAGAACTCTGTGGAACAGATACAATTATGTAACCCCCAGGGTAAAGAATATATGGGTCACACACTGCTGGCTCTACAAGACATGTCATAGTCAAATTTTCTTTTCTTTTTAAATTTTCTTTTCTTTTCAGCTTACAGCAAGATAGTGACTCTTGGCAAAGATGAGTTTCACCTACACCTAGTGGACACAGCTGGTCAGGTACCAATTGGGGGAGGGTATCCAAATATGATAGTTTAGCCCTAGGAGATAAAGTCCGGTAGCCTCTGGTTCATGTGTAAAGCAGTATCACAAGAATAGTATTTTAGCCAGGAATGGTATCACATGTCTATAATCCCAGCATGGGGGCTGAGGCAGGAGGATTGCTGTGAATTTGAGGCCAGCATGGGTTACTTAGTGAATGTGAGGCCAGCCTGAACTACAGAGCAAGACTCTGTCTTAAAAAACAAAAACAAAAGTATTTTAGCTTCTAATAGTGTGCAGGGCTTATTGGAGCTGCTCTACAAATACTTGCTGACAAGAAGTGACTGGAGCAGGGAGTGCCCCAGGGAGGGTCACTTGGATGCCAACCCTCCAGCCTTTGGCATCTCAGTGGTATGGATCTAAGTACTGATGTTTCTATTTCTTGTCAGGACGAGTACAGCATTCTTCCCTACTCATTCATCATTGGGGTCCATGGTTATGTGCTTGTGTATTCTGTCACCTCTCTGCATAGGTAAGTGACCAAGGCTGTGAGTGGGGAACTTGGGAGGACCTGAGGACTTCCCAGAATTAAGGTTATAGCTCCATTTCTTGTATTTAAAGCTTCCAAGTCGTTCAGAGTCTGTACCAGAAGCTACACCAAGGGCATGGGAAGACCCGGTAGGTGGCCCATGGGATAGACACAGTGTAGGGATGAAAAGGTGGGAGAGAGCAGAGAAGTGAACTATCCAAGTCACAGACAAAGCTAGGACATAGATCACTACTGGTTTGATGGGACTTGAAGGCCTGGATGAGAGGGCAATGGGGTCCATGGAACACGGGTGAGAATCTTGTTTCCTGCTGTTTCCTCACAGGTTGCCAGTGGTGCTCGTGGGCAACAAGGCAGATCTTTCTCCAGACAGGTATGTAAATCTCTACTGCTCAGGGAAAAGGAAAGTGAGATGAACTAATAATTAGTCAAGCTCTAGTCCTGGGTTTCTACTGGCTCAAGTCATTTTGCCTCTTTTTATTTCTTTTTTTTTTTTTTAACCTCTTTTTGTTTCTAACTTGGTTAAAAAAAGATAGCCTTGGGCCAGGATTTAGCTCAGTGTTGCTGCCACCTGCCTCACAAGCACAAGGTCCTGAGTTCGATCCCTGGTTCTGGGGGGAAAAAAAAAGAAAAGATAGCCTTTCTATCACAAGAGCCACAGTTGTATTATTTTCAGCCTCAGTTCTGGATTTGCACATTGTTCCTTTACTTACCTATATTTTCTCCTTCAATCTTTGGCTCAAAGCTTGGGGAGGTCAGAAGCATCAGAGGAAGTCTAGATTGTAAAGATTTTACAGAGAACTTGGAGAGGTTGCTATCCTCCATCTTTATGTCTCAAATTTGCTTCCAGAGAGGTGCATGAAGTCCAAGGGAAGAAACTAGCAGAATCCTGGGGCGCAACATTTATGGAGTCTTCTGCTCGAGAGAATCAGGTGCTGGGCTGAATGTTAGGAAGGTGATGGGGGTAGCAGTGTCTTCCTTGTACATTTCTTGGTGGTGGGGATGATGAGGATGTGAAAGTCACCCTAGAGCAAGGTAACACTGGCGCTGAACTGATTTGCCTTGAATGCCTATCCCTTTCTTGTAGCTGACTCAAGATGTCTTCATCAAAGTCATCCACGAGATTGCCCGTGTGGAGAATTTCTATGAGCAAGAGAGTCGGTGCTATCTCATGTGAACCCTTGGTCATGGGGTGACCGCCTCATTTCTGCCCTTGGTACTTGGTAGGCTTCGGTGGGGGCAGACCCTTGGGACTTCACGGGTGTGGTTGCCAGTGTGTCTGGCCCTCTGAGCACACAGTGTGGTACCCTCATATTTGCACACTTTCCCCAGGTCAGTGGCCTGGGTGTCAATGTTTACAAACAGGTAGGGATGTCTCATGGACACTGGTCCCCATCCCCCTGTTTTTGCTAAATGAATTCTGTTACAATTTGTGGGGTTGGTATTTGAGTATTTGAGTCCTGGGCATTGTTTATGTAGGGCTGATCCTGTGTAGGTTTTGGGTGTTGGGTGGGTAAGGAGAGCTAGGAACTCCTGAGATAGAGTTGGCTCTGTGGGGCGACAATGTATATATGCAAATAAAATGAGAAATCCGTTGTTGTTGATTTCTTTGTACCTAGGAGAGCCTGGGCAATATTGTATCTTCTTTTCCAAGGAGTAATGGCTGTGGTATTTGGTGGGGATCTTTCCTCCTATCTCATTCCTATTCCTTATTTATTAAGGACCAATACTCTAAGACTTACTGGTTGCTTTTCTCACCTTCCTATTCTGTTGGGTTCTCCCTATACTGTACGGTTTGTTGGCTGCCCCACCCATCCAAGTTTGATCTTTTAACTGCAGAAACACCACCCTCTAGTGGCCAGCTGCCACATGCTGACCTAGCTGTCCTTGAACCTTGGCATCTGCTGCAACTCAGTGGGTAGGATTTGGGGAGGAGGAAGGAAGCCCTTCACTCCCAAGGAGAGTTGGGTGTGGTGGTGCATGTCTGTAATCCCAGCACTTGAGAGACTGAGACAGGAGAATGGAGAGTTTAAGGCCAGCCTGAGCTACTTAGTGAAATCCTGTCTCAAAAAATAAAATCAGGATGGGCCAGGCATGGTGGCACAGGTCTGTAATCCCAGCACTCGGGAGGCAGAGGCAGGAGGATCGCCATAGTTCGAGGCCAACCTGGGCCTCAAAAAAAGAAAAAAAGTCAGGAAGAAAAATAAAGGCAGAAACTAAAAGTGTTGTGAAGATTTTGATTCCTCAAGAAAGTTGCAAAGAAATAATGCCCCTAGTGCATATCAGTCCATCTGCCCCTCATATTCCTAATCTCATAATAATGAGATTCATATATTCAGTAATCTTTCAGACTTTTGGAATAGTGCACTTTTTTTTTAAGTGTTAAAAGGTTATTGGTTTCTACCCTTTCTCTCTGATTTGCGACCTCAAAAGGAAATGAATATTTCAGCTAGAAAGGTTTGGGTCTTTTTTTTTTTGGTTTGGGTCTTTTGGCTTCTACTTTTCTTGATTCCCTATTACTCCTAGCCTGAGAGCCTAAGAGCCTAACTGGCCCAATTCTTCTCCAAGAAATTGTTACCTGAGAGTTACCTGAGTGATGATATGGTGTCATCCTCACAGTGAGAACAAAGACCTCTCCTGCTAATTGAAGGAGGCTGAAGTACCCTGTTAATACGCTTATTTGAGGAAGATAGACAGAATCTAGGTGTGATTTTTTTTTTTTTTTTTTTTTTTTTTTGGTACCAGAGATTGAACTCAGGACCTTGTGCTTGCCAGGCAGGCGGCTGAACCACTGAGCTACAACCCCAGCCCTCTAGGTGTGATTCTTAGTCCTGATGTTAGTATCTCGCTCTAGGCATATAGTTAGAGGTGATGGTTTGTCATCTGATTTTCAAAAACCAGCTGCTTTTCTTTCTCTGATCCAGAATCTAAAAAAGAAGAAGCGCTGCTGGAAAAACATACCCTGCAGAGCAATCTCAGTGGTGTAAGAGGTTCTTCAGGCTGGTCACAATCTCCTCTTATTACAATTAGGTCTTTTTGTATATCTGACCAGGAGAATCATTCCAGGGACCTACCACTGCCATATCCATCAGGTCTGGGATAAACTTATAAACATCTGATGTTTTCCAGACATTTATCAACAAATAATCTCGAGGCCTGGATACAATCAAGTGATTATAGCTGGTTAATGGCTTCTCCATAAATACAGTCACTTGGGCAATCTCTCTGAGCCTCGGTTTCATTCGTGAAATGTTAAATCTGCTTCAGAGGGTGGAGGTGAGGATTAAGTGAGATGATGTAATGTTTAGCATTCTATATTCTACATAAGCCCTTAAAAATGGTAGCTGTCTTATTGGAGGTCCTGGTGAGAGTCTGCCTTTCCCTGCCTCTGGTACAGACTGTAGGGAGGTGCCTTCCATTTTCCAACTTGTCTCTTTGTTAACTTATTCTACTACAGTAGGGACAGGTGCAGAGTCACTGCTGAAGTTTTTTTGTTGGTTTTCTCAGAAATGGACTTGAATGGTCAGATTAAAGAACATGATGCTAATATGTGTATAGCGGAGGGCCTGATCTCTTCTATGACCAAGGCCAGGTCTCTCTGCACTGTCCAATATGGAAGTCACAAGTTACATATAGCTAATTAAGTAAAGTTAGTTCTTCATTTACACTACCTACATTTCAAAGTGCTCAATAGTTACATGTGGTTATGAGTGTCAAATTGGACCGTGTAGGCAGAGTACATTTGCATCACTGCAGAAAGTTCCGTTGGATAGCTCTGGGCCTAATTTGCCTGCCTCTTTTCCCATCTCTTTCTTTTAAAAAAAGTTTTTTTTTATTCTAGGAAAAACTGGCTTTTGGTTTAAATCATGGCACAAGTTCTCACAATGTGATTCCTTGGGCAATTTTATCTATTTTAGCCTCAGTCTTTTCATCTGTAATATGGAGATAATTCTATGTAACTCATCATGTGGTTAGGAGTAACTAAGATATAAAGTATCTATCCCATAGTTTGTCTCCTCTTGCCTACCTCAAGTGTACGTATAGCTCAAGCAGAAAATGCATTCCAATGTGTTCTCTCATCCAGACTTGGATGAGGGTGCCTGCCTGGAGTGTGTCCTGCGATCTTGTCCATCTTGTCCCGAGCAACAATATTTCGGCCAGGTGGTAGCGAGGTTACCTTAGCTTACTAAAAAAAAAAGGTGGGGGGCAGCCCTTGGAGATTTGGAAAGACTAAAGATGGGGGTGGGGACACCCTGAAGAGGTTCCCTAAGGGGAGCTCTATATTAATGTTTTGATGGGGAGGTGATGTGTGTTGGTGATTGTGAGGGCACCGACAGTCCTTTCTCACGAGGGGGTCCGAGTGTCAGAAAACTAGGGACTTGTACAGTTCTTCCGGCCCCCCAACAAGAAACCACCCTCTGCAGCACCAGGCGCCGTGCCTCACTTTCTCCATTTGCGGACTCCAGTTCCCAGGATGCAGAGCAGCGGCCAATCTCCTACCTCTTCTTCCATCCCCCTCCCGGGAAAGATTGCCCCTGGCCAAGGCAAGGGGGCAGCAGGAGTTTCAGGGACCGATGACTACAAGGCAACGGAACTAGAAAGTGGCCAGAACCCTAGCTTCAACGCCCAGGAGGTAAAGAAAGCAGTTCCAGGGTCCGGGCGAAAAGGAGGGGGGCTCCATTCCCACGTGTCTGCCCGGGTGCCGGCCCGGCGCAGTCGGGGTTAACCTGAGGCGGAGGGATCCTCCAGCGTGTGCGTAGAACTGCAAAGTCACAGCCTTTCCTCCTAGAGGGCTGTATCCCTCCGCCGCCCCGCTCCAACACAAAATAGGACCGCATCTTCTCCTTTCTACCCTTCTCGAGTGGGGTTCCCCGAGCAAAAGGCCTGCCCCCAGATCTCGCTCCGGAGGCTTCACAAGTCTCCAAGACCGCTGCCCAGATCTCGGGCCTGAAAATAGCCTCTTCGCAGGAACCACCCTGCCGGCCGAACAGGAGGCGGAGGGGGGGAGGCGGAGCGGCGCCGCGCTGCACTACTTTCCTCTCCGGTTGCAAATGGCTGCCTCGTTCCCCACTTTCCGCTCAGTTTCCTGACCCCCGGCGCCGGGAGCCGGGGCTGGGCCATGCACCTCTAGGCCCCTCGAGATCACAGCCAGCCGGGGGTCTAGGGGCTGCCGTCGACCGGAGCCAGCCAGGCCGGGGGCGGGGCAGCTTCCCAGGCCAGAGGGGAAGGGAGGCGAGCGCAGGGCCTGGAGCGGCCGGAGGGAGCGGGCAGAGGGCTCGCACCGCCCGCCCCTTCCTCTTCCTCGCCCACCTACCCTCCTCCCTTCCCCGGGGGGAGCAGAAGGTGGGGGGCTCGAAGCCGCCGGGGGCGAGCGCTTGGGGTCGAGGAGCCCGGCGCTGGGTGTGTGTCAGGTTCAGCCCCGCGGCCCCGCCGGCCCCGCTTCACCGTAGCTCGCGCGGCCCCAGGGCGCCGGCCGGGCGGGGAGAGGGGCTCGGCGCTGCCGTGAGGGGCTCACGTTCCATCCGGGCCCGGCGCGGGGCGGCGCGGCATTCCTTCCGGGCTGCTGGGGAGGTGCCTCGACGTTCCATCTGGAGAGCCTCGACGTTCCGCCCGAGCCCGGCGCGGGCGGCCGGGGCGCTGGCCGGGCCCTAGGACTCAGAGGCCGCCCGGCGACGCGGATGCGGAGCCTGCTCACCGAAGATCAAAGCCACCGGTGCTCTCTTTGTGTCCGCTCGGGATTCACCGCCCTGGGGCTGTCCATGGAAACCTAAACTGCTGGAACCTGAGGCAGAGAACCTCCCTTTGGCTTCTTGCTTTTTTTCGTGTGGGGGGAGGGTGGCCACTCCGACCTGGATTTACCGTTCTTGGCCCCCCTAAGCCCCCCCGTGCGGGGGGCGGCTGTGATCGCTCTGGCGGTTGGAGGTCGGGGAGCGGCCCGGGCTCTGGCCATGTTCTCGGATGAGGATTTCTGGATCGCCCTGTGAAGAGGTGAGTGAAGTCCGCCCGGCCAGGGCCAAGAAAGGGTTGGACTGGGGGCCCAGCCAGATGGACTATCTTGGCCAGTGCTGGCCTTTAGTTGGAGAAGGGGGTGCCAGAGCTGAGGAAGGTTCCTTTGGCAGGGTCTGTCAAGGGAACCTGAGCCAGTTGCCAGGGCAGACCAGAGCCGACCAGAGCCCTGGTGTCCTGGGGTGTGCCTCTTTAAAGACTAGGGGTTCAGGGAACCACGGGAGTTGGGGAACCTATCCAGATAGCCTCCCTGCTTGTTTATTTTTGAGTTGAGGGGAGTTCAACTAAAGTAGGACCCAGGCCCTCAGGCCAGCGCCAATCCTAGGCGGCTGCTGCTTCCCCCAGGGTTCCTGTGGGCCTTTGGGACAGAACAAGTTGGGATGAGGGGGAGGTTGCTACTGCCAGGTCGGACTTACTGCCAGGTTGGACTTTAAGGTTATTTCTACCCCGGGCAGACACTCAGAGTGGCGTCTGGGAAAATCAAGGAACCCTAGATCTTTCACCAGGCTGCCTTTCTCTGAGCAAAGGAGAGGGGGTGTGGAAATTGACTAGGGTGATCAAGGGGGTGGCTGGGCAAGAAGGAGGCGGGGCTGGGGGGCAGCTCTGGCCCTGCAGTTCAACTTTAAACTACCCCTGGTTGCCAAAGTGACCCTGGTGAGGCCTAGTGCTGTCTTAGCCTGCCTTGCCTCCCCTCCTCTCGGGATGGACATAATCTCCAGGGGATTATAGAGGAGGCCGTTGAGATTTGTTCCCCGCGAATGTGGCCTGCAAAAAATGGCTTTTGTCTCCCGCTCTCTGGGGTTGGTGTGGAGATCTGGCTGCCCATGAGTCCGTGGCCAATCCTGGAGGCACCTCCCAGACCTAACTTTCCTGGTCGAGGAGTGTTAACTGGTTCTCTGATCCTGTACCAGCCCTGCAGAGTAGGGTGGGCTGTACTTCTTTGGTGGAGAAAAGACTTGATCCCCGCTCTTTTCTGCTGGCAGTCCAGCCCTGGCAGGAGGTGCTGGGGAGAAGGGGTGTGTATGTGCGTGCATGAGCCTCAAGTCTCAGCCTCTGGGCCCTGGGCTGGGACAGCCCCCTTCACACCTGTCATGCTGCCCAGCAGGGATTTGGCTGGTGCATTTTGCTCCCTCACCCCAGCCCCTCCAACATACATGTGCTAGATCTCCTTGAGTCTGGTCTTGGAAATGGAAAAGTTGGGGGGTTTGCCCTTGAAAGATTTCTGGAAGGTGAGAGGTGGCACAGAGGTGGTGGAGTGAGGTGAGCTGTCAACTGTACTCTGCTCTTTCCTTCTGTGGAGGGTCCCTCTTGTCTGTTCCCAAACAACTTCCTTAGGTGGGATTGCACCTTGTTAGATGTGGCTGCCCCTAGGAAGACCTAAGGATAGTGTGGAGGGTCTGCAGGGCATTGTTGCCATTTGGATCCTTCCTGTAGGGCTGACCCAAGCTGGGGGTGGAGAGAGGTGTGGTTTGATTCTCAGGCTGGGAACCAGGAAGTCCTGAATCCCATTGAAGAGCTGTTCACTCAAGGGCCTACTTTAGCCTTTCACCTGTCCAAGCCTCCATTTCCCCCTTGGCTGGGAAAATGGGAGTAAAAACAGTTGGTGTGGAATGAATTCAGGGAGGAGAGTGGGTTGGCATAAATCCCTGCCTTCTTTCCTGCTATTTTGGACCTCTTTCGTGTAGAACTAAGGGTTGTCAGCACAGTTTTACTCCCTGGATCAGAAGGAACCCGGTCAGGCAGTAGCCCAGTTCAGATCCAAGGAAAATCCACTGGTATATATGTGTATCTGTGTGTACTGGCTGTGAATGGTGAGACCGGTGTGTGGGGGAGCACCCTTAACTTCTGCCTTTACTTGTTTAGATGCATTCAAGGGCTTAACAGTGGTACTCAGCATTGGAATGCAGATGCTGAACTGCAGGGGTGGGAAGTAGGGGACTGAGGTTCAGGCTTCTTGGAGGTGCCCCTAGATTATTTTTTGGTACAGCTTGGAGGACACTTCCTTGCTTCTTAATCTCTCATCTTCTGTGGCCCCATGAATGGGGCTCTGACTGGTGGCTATTGGTACTCTGTTCCCCAAGGCTGGATGATGATGGTTTCTGTACCTTCTTGGGCATTGCCAGTTTTACCAGCCTGAGAGGACTATGGTCGGGGGAGGGCAGAGGAATTTGTCCCTCTGGCCTTGTGTGAGGCGGTTCTCCTACCCATTGTATTATCACTGTTGCTTTTTATTTCTTGCTGTTTGTGACTCCTTTGGCCTCAACTTTGAGAACAGAGCTAGTAGAGGATCTTTGGGGGCATGTGGTAGTTAAGATACATCAAGATGCAACATTTAGAAAACTCTAAGGCCCCTTTGGACCTTCTGGGTGTGGTCAGGCTTTGGATGACCAAATAAGAGGGCTCTGGCTATTGCTCTGACTTCCAGCTCTACTTCCTATAGGTAGTTTCTAAAGGCCTCTCAGAGTTCTAGAGCAGCTTTGCTGTGAGCTGGCCAGATGACCTACCCTGCTTTCTTTTTAGATGTGGTTATGTGGCAGGGTTTGATAAGAGAGATGGCTTGGGAATGGTAGTGATGGGTATCTAGTGATGCTTTAATGTTCCCTATTTAATAAGGTTGTTCTTACTAAAGTTGCTGTGGACACTGTTGTTAAGAGGAGCGGAAAATGTGGGAGATAAATTTCTCAAGCTTTTATTATTTTCAGTTCTTAGGGATTTCCACCACCCCACCATCACTCTATCACTATATATTAGAAACATTATGTACTTTCTTTTTCTGATTAAGAGAAGGGTCTACCCTTTTCACTAACAGCTGCTGGTACCTATTCTTATCACTTTTCTTCTTATGTTTCCCTTCCTATTCTTTATTTCTATAATTATTCTTGTTCTTTATTCTTTTCTGTTTTTGTACAATGCTTATATGCCTCGGAGATCAAGTGAAATATATTCAAGGGTATAAGGCTCAACTTTTTTTAAGGTATAACTTTAGAGTGTTTCATTTGACTCTGGTACAGGCTGGCATGTCTTAGAAGGGGGACAGGGGAC